TTAAAGTCGAGAGGAACGACGTCACTCTCTCTTATGACTCAGTCTCTCTCTCTCTCAAGCAGAACGGCTAGGCGCCTGCCGAGAACATACCTCAGCGCATAAGCTCTGTAGTTCCAGCGACGATCCCGATAGGTCTGAAATAGGCGTCCTTGTTATTAAAGTCTAAATGGCACTATGCCAAAGTTTCCAAACTGAAAAATGACACTAGGCGAAAGTTTCTTAGTGCTAAATTCTAGTTTCAAGAAAATCAATTTTGAACATTTTACAACAAATGAAAATTGTGTAACTGTGAGATATTTTCATGATCGCTTCGTTGTCCCGAGTATACGAGCGAAGAGAGCATCGTAGCATTAGTAACTGGCACTTTCGCACTTTCGTTTTTATTTTAAATTTTTTATGCTCTTGAATTAGGAGCACCTTGAACATTTGTAATAATGGCCAGACTAGGGGGTGGTGTGGTGGGGGAGAAGGTCTTAAGCCGCAGCATAAGTTATGACTACTAGATCTGTGTATCATTTTCTTTAACATATCTTTTTCATAATTTCCAGCCTGCTAGTAACATTGAGTCTGCACTCAGTGCTGATATCATTGTTATGTCTCATCCCAACCAGGTCTCCTGTATATAGCCTTCTCCGAAATGAGCTGCAGCGTCACTATCTTCATCACCATCCAGAGATGTCTGTGTATATCCTGCCCTCTCAAGGTCAAACTCATGATGACCCCGAAGTTCACAGCCCTCGTACTAGCCTCGATGTCTCTGGCCATCTTCTTCATTTTCGTTTTTCCCACAACATTTAACGAATCCGCTTACATTGGTTGGAAAATCTCACCGTTGTACAACAAATCCATTCTTGGTTTGATACTTAACGACAACTGGTGGACATTTAATAATGTCAAAATGCATATTCTAACAACCGCGCAGGTGGCACTATTTGTGGCTATCGTTTCTAGCACAGCCATATTGGTATTTCAGCTCAAACGACAAGCAAAATGGCGGAATTCTTCACACGCTTTAAGTTTTGACAAAGCAGCAATTTATTCTCAAAGAGATTATAAACTTAGCCGAATGGTTGTGGTGCTATCGACTGTACTTATTCTGTGTATTGTACCAAGTACAGCATCGTTAATTGCCAACTTTTTTATGCCATCTGTTAGCGACATAACCTCTGTTGACCCCGTGTATTCGTTCTTCTGGACATTAGGGGCGTTCTGTGAGGCCTTGAACTCTAGTGTCAACATTTGTGTGTACTATCAGGTCAGCTCCAAATACCGTAAATCTTTCGATACTATTGTGTGCGTCTGCAAATATGAGAAATAGAGTTCACTACCATTGTGTGTGTAAGTATGGAAAATGCAGTTCAGCACCACTGTGTGTGTCTGTAAACATAGAAAATAGAGTTCAATACTATTGTGTCCAGAAAAGATATAAAACCAAACGAAAAGTATATTAGCAAGCTTCACAATATAACAAATACAAACAAAACGTGAACGTTGCAGCTATGGAGCCATCAGCGGCACATACAAATCAAACAATACTACACAAATACGCAAAATCACTTAGCTGGTATCTCGAAGCAGCCGGGTCGATGGATTCTCACGCCTACACACGTGAACTGGGGGAATAAATACCCTCTGTAGTACCAGGGGCTATAACTTGGGGGTTAGAGATAATACTGTGAGTTTAAATGAAACTGTGTTGGCAATTTAGTCCGGAGGGTGTTAAAGATCCCAGAGTGTAAATAATGTGATTCTCAAGAGATTTCCAGACTCTGTCGCTGGAGTGGCTAGATTTAATGGCTGTCAGCTCCATGTCGAGGACACCTTGGTGATCCTGGGAATTGAAGTGCAACGGTACTGGTTTCAGGTCATCATTTTGCACATCAAAAAGATGTTATCTGAGCCTGTCAGCCAGCCGTAGACCTGTTTCACCAATGTATTTCATGCCACATCTCTTGCAGTTGATGGCATAAATGACATTACGGCTGGTAAAATAGAATACTTCACGTATGTGGAAGGTGGCGTTCGGGAATTCTAGCCTAGCCACCTGGACCACCTAGGACAGGTCCTCCATACAGGTCTGTGGCTAGAGACCGTGCTGAAGTGGGGCTCAGACGCGGGACATAACTGACTCTTGACTAGAATGTCCTTGTTACGATCATGCCGGTAGGCCACTAGAGGGGCTTCAACGAAAATCGTGCTGGTGGCAGGGTCGGCTTTAAGGATGAAGAGATGCCTGGGGAAAATATTTTTAGCGCGGATGTTGTGAGGGTGGTAGGTAAGTGTAAGTTATCAAGTGTTGAGTATCAAACCAAGTGTGAGGATAGGTCTGTTGTGGTGATGTTTAGGCTTGGAAACGAGAGCCTTGGCACGAAGGGAAGACTGTTCGCGGTTAAAGGCGGCAGATAAGACACGTCGTCGTTCTCCTGGCATAGTCTGAGGAGGCGTAGAAGTAGGATCATTGCAAGCAGAGGGATGGGAGGACGTGTAGAGAAGAAAAGCGTGGGAATCGGTAGGCTTATAGTAAACAGAGAGTGCTGAGGCCTATAAAGTTCACGGTGACAGTGAGATCCAGAAAAAGAACTGACGAAGGGGAGATGCTAAAAGTGCATCGGATGCTGGGATGAAAGTTAGAGACAAAATGAATAAAGTTCTGCAGTTCCTGTAAGGGCATATCGGTTACACCGATGCAATCATCGATATACCTTCTGTAGAGCTCGGGGAGCCTACCGGTATATGCATGACGTGTCTGGTGCTCGAGGTGCCCCATGAAGAGGCAGGCATAGCTGGGTCTCATCTTGGTCCCCATAGTGACGTCGTTGATCTGGTTGAGATACTGGCCATTAAACTCGAGCGAGTTTAGAGTGAGCACTAACACAGCCAGATGAATCAGGGGTCAGTGGCTTTGGCAGGATTGACTCTGATTCAGAAAAAACCGCAAAGCCTGGAAGCCATCTGAATGTGGATAGAGGTGTAGAGGGAGGTGACATCTAAGGTGAAGATGTGGCACTTGGAAGAAGAGGTAAACAAGATAGACTGAAAGATAGAGATGGCATGGTTGGTATTTTGTATGGTTGTGTGTGTCTGTAAACATGGGAAACAGAGTTCAATACCATTGTGTGTGTGTGTAAACATAGGAAATAGAGTTCAATACTATTGTTTGTGTCTGTAAACATGGGACCTCAAATAGACCTCCATACAACCACGATCAGATTTATACTTGGTAGACCAGAAGCTATCTAAAATGTTGAGGCCTCAAGATTTAAAAAGTAAAATTTATGTTCAACTCATCGCCTTTAGTAATCACACAACGACACATATTAAATGGGATGATGAATTAAAGAAAAGTAAAGATATAAGAGAACTATAGAAGCAGTTTTACTTTACAAAATTACAAATTAAAAAAGCAATGAATATGTTACCGGCTTTTTGTGTGTGTGTGTTGCACCCATGACCAATACAATTAAATAAGTTAAAATGTGTTAGTTAAGAAGTGATGTCCCTACCCATAAACATCCACACAAGCGATCCTTTCACATCTCCAGCAGCCAAAGAACAATTGCAACTCTGAGGGTCTCAGATTAGGCACCATCAGTTACAGAAGACCATTGAGCTGTGCCGCTGGTTTTGGGAGCAGTGTCTGCAAGCGATGCTGCAGTAGCCTCTCCGGGGCATTAGCCTAGGCATGTTGACCTAAAGTACGGGCTGTTGCCCAGGCAAACAAGTACCCCCTCTCTACGCCATCAGTGATATCAAGGTAAGGGCAAGTGTCAGTACAGCTTGGCATAGAAAACATCACAGAAACTGCCGCAGCGGCAGTGTAAATAATGTTGAACTGCCTTAGAGATTCCAGCTCCAAATTTTTTCCTCGGGGTTTATTACCAAAGCGCTTTATTCTAAATCGGCTATTGCCACAAGGCAGTGGAGGTTTGAGATCAGAGGTTTCCTTCTCCTAGATAAGCTGCACTACCCTGCTGACGAGCCTCACCTGCCCTAGGTTTGAAATCAGAGTGTTTCCTCTTCTAGGTGAGCTGCACTCCCCTGCTGACGAGCCTCACCTACCCAAAGCATCTGGTTATAGCGCCAGAGACCGCTTTGGCCTATTCTCCTGTCAGTTATAACAGCTCCACCCCGAGAAGGCCAGAAGTTGGAGCTTTGCTGTCACAGGCTATGAGAGACGGGTGCCTTGAGAGTATTTCTTGGGGACTAAGAGCTTAACCTCGGCCCCCTCCCTCATAGTTTTACATGTTCATCCGTTTTTTTTTAGTGCAGTGTCGAAGTAAAAAAAAAAGAAAAGTGCCAACTATCCATGTGCTTACCTATTGTAGAGTGATATAGTGTAGAACATCGGTTCTCGAACGACTGTCCTCTGGAGTAATTCTCCATCTTTGGTTTCTGAATAGGACCTCAGTTTTTGAGCAGGTAATCCTGAACTATGTGTTTCATGAAATGAAATTGTGACAAAATAGCAACTTTCTCTCAGTAAAGATTCCTGTTCAATTGTGCCACATCATTTTTTGATCTTCTTTGACAATGTCCTTGCTCACTCTATGACTGGGCTTGGGAAGGGGGGGGGGGGAGTAGGCCAGTGGATGCATTTGATTTTTTATTCCAGTGATGTTTCTACTCCCTAAGACAACTCTTCTAATCAAGAGTAGAGCCCAGCAAATCCTTGTGAACTTTGAGAAACTCTACATCAAAACATTGTTTCAGATGTGTTTTCAAGCGACTTCTGAACGACAACTGGCACCGGGAAATTCCAGAAAATAAGTTTAATATCCTGTATAATTTTGGCATCCTTGACAAAGCTTGGTTGCAAATGACTTACAAGACTGTGAACCTGGTCTGGAGAACATTGTGGCTGACTTCATAGCAGTCAAAGATACTTTGGGCTTTAAAATCAAGAAACTGAACATTCACACACCAAAGGGGAAACCACACACAGAATTTCCAAAATCTCAGATATAATTCATACTTAGAAAAACATTTACATGCATTTATAGTCATCTGCTGGACAAGCTAGATCTGTTGCCAGCAAGGCTCTCTGGTACAGCATACAACCAGACGGTGTCAACTCCCTCTCCCAAGGTCAACACCGGCTGCCAGGAAGGTAGTGGAAATCTACATGCCACAATTCTGGTGCCAGATGGCATTTCTGCTTGAAGCTTTTTCTCTAGTGGCTCCATCTGAGTGAACAGCAAAAAGAAAACAAATACATTTTCTGCTTGACTTTAAGTATCCGCAGCTGTGACCATCTGCACTTATGAATTCACACAAAAATAAATAAATAACAACAGGAAATAAAGAAAAGATAATGACATTGGTAGAGTTAACAAGTTTTCTGAAGAGAGTAAATATTAAGTGTTTTTCACATTATGAGCAATAATTATATGTACAAGGAATGAATGTTTGTGTTTTATGTGAAATCATGTTTAACCCACTTGGATAAAAATAGTGTGGACAAATACAAATTCGACTTAAGACCTATTAGAATGGGATTCAGTCATAAGTCAGGGAGACTGTAAAAGTAATGTAAAGGACCCTTTTCCACACCTTTAGGCGTATAGAGTATATAGGGCTAGACCAAGATGGGTGATGTCGTCAGCATCACGCCAGAAGACTCTGTACTTGTTTTAAAGTGACAATCAAAAAGACTTCTTCTTCTCTGCCTCTTTTCTCTCAATGGATATCAGGCCCCCAACCAACTCACGAAGGCCACTCTACAGACAAAAGTAAGTTGTCAGAAAGGGTTACTCTGGGACATGTTGATACTAAAGGCACTCCATGAAAAGCTGCGAGGAAAGGCACTCTGGGACAAGCTGACAGTAGAGGCACTCTGGGATATATTGACAGTAGATGCACTTGACAGCAGATGCACTCTGGGACAAGCTGACAGTAGAGGCACTGGGATATATTGACAGTAGAGGCACTTTGGGATATATTGACAGTAGATGCACTTGACAGTAGATGAACCTGACAGTAGATGCTCTCTGGGACAAGCTGACAGTAGAGGCACTGGGATATATTGACAGTAGAGGCACTTTGGGATATACTGACAGTAGATGCACTTGACAGTAGATGAACCTGACAGTAGATGCACTCTGGGACAAGCTGACAGTAGATGCACTCTGGGACAAGCTGACAGTAGAGGCACTTTGGGACAAGTCAACAGAGGGCCAACACCAACAAGCAGCTTGCCACAGAAACATGAACAATACACAAGCCAGAACATGATCAGCTACAACTTTCAAATCACACATGCCAGTCTACACTGCTTAAAATATCACAAAAAATAAGTGAGTTGACCCTGAGTTAATAACCAACATCACAGCATTTGGGACATTCTCATAATGACCCCATCCTCTCATCTTCAGCAGCCAACAAAGAATTCCAACTCCCATGGTAGCAGTGGCAGTATGAGGGTATGCCCACCTAGCCTTTCCTCTGAGTGTTGAGTGCCTGTCATATCCCTTGGCCACCCCCCGCTGTGCTATTCTCTCCCGACTGTGATGATCTGTTAGTGCTTCCACACTACTCAAAGCCTCTAAAAAAATGCCCAGACCACACCTAGTTTGTCATGCATCAATTTATAAGCAAGTGGAGCAGAACCAGTCAACTTGTCTGCCTGTCACAAAATTACTCTCCCCAGGCAACATCATCATCATCATGTAGCAGGTCCTTTGCAGAACGTCGCTCTCATCACAGTCTGCGTGAAAGAAACTCGGTCTCTTGCCAGTTCTCCCGTTTCATGTACTTTCATACTCAAGGAGTCACTTATATCCTGTGCCCATCTTCGTGTCGGTCGGCCCCTGCCCCTCCTTCCTGGTACCATGCCTTCTGCTATAATTTTTTCCAATCCGTCCTGGCGCTTGATATGACCACAATATTTTAGCTTCCGAGACAGGATGCTGACCTTATTAGCCAACCTTCCTTGATGTTCAGATTTTTCAAGATGTCAGTATTTCTCCTTTCTTTGTCCAAGATATTATGAGAATCTTTCTATAGGATTTCAGCTCAAAAGCCCCTATTCTCTTTCTTAAGGACTGGGAGATAGTCCACGACTCACATCCGTATGTAGCCATGGGGAAGATGCATGCTCTCAAAATTCTAATTTTGATCTCCTTGCTGGTGCTTAACCATAGACTTTTAAGCTGTTTAATCTTTACATTGCTATGGCCATTCTCCTTGCGATTTTTGTCAAACAGACTCCATTGCTGTTTATTATAGAGCCTAGATATTCACAGTTTGTGACATTTCCACAGGCAACACTGCCACAAAATCAGATTCAAAATTCCAATCTTCTTCTTCAGTGTTTGCTCATAAGGGTGGCTGGTAGGTTATTTTGCAGTTGACAGCTAGGCTGTGATATATGTGCCTTGCAAACCCAACACATCCAGTTGCAGCTAAACCTCTAGTCATTTTCTTATAACATACTTTTTAGGAGGAATTCAGACTATACCCCCCCCCCCTCCACCCATTCCAGGATGGGGCCACAGATCCCACATGGGGTGAACTGCAATCTTATCTTGTACTCACCATAGACTCCACTCCAAAGATGACAACATTGTTGTAGCAGGACAAATTAGTCTGCAAAAACAAGATAGAATCACGTTTTATTTAGACAGCTGGGTTCTAATTTTAGAGAAAATAGGATTGTTATCATAACAGGCTGATAAAAAGGGCACCTTTCATGCCATCAAATCATCGAGAACAGCGGTTTTCAACCTTCTTCGAGTGATGTCTCCCTTGTCCCCCCCCCCCCTTTTAAATATTTGCCCCCCCCCCCCCCCCCCCAGAAGGTCGTGTGTTCGCTCCCTGACGGAGCCGGGCTATTTTCAAAAATGACCTTGGCTCCCAGGTCGACCCAGCCTTGAGTGGGTACCGGGTGCAGTCCCGGTAAGTAAAGGCAGCTGGTGTGATGCTGACCACATCACCCATCTTGTGCCGGTTGGTCTATATAAATATAGGTCTAGCCCAATATACCCTATACGCCTAAAGGCATGCAAAAGGGTCCTTTTCCTTTACTTACCCCCTACCCCCCCCCCCCCCCCCCCCCCCCCCCCCATACATCCAATACTTTTATCCTATTTTGTTATTTTGAAGCCCCACCCTAGCTTTTGTTGGGGGCCCTAAATATATAACCGGACCTTAAATAGTCGATGAAATACAAAAGTACCTAGTCTATAGACAATGAAATATGTAGTTTGCAGACAATGACATTCCAAGTCTGTAGACAATGAAATACCTAGTCTTATGACAATGACACACCAAGTATGTAGACAATTAAACACCTAGTCTTTACACAAATAAATACCTAGTCTGTAGACAATGCAATACCCAGTCTTTGGACAATGAAATACCTAGCCTGTAGACAAATAAAATCCCTAGTTTGCAGACAATGACATACCAAGTCTGTAGACAATGAAATACCTAGTCTGTAGACAATGAAATACCTTTAGACAAATAAATACCTAGTCTTAAGAAAATGTAATACCTTGTTTGTAGATAATGACATACCAAGTCTGTAGACAATGAAATACCTAATATTTAGACAATGAAATACCTAGTTGGTGGACAATGAAACAGTGATAAAACTGAGGGAGGGGAAAAAGAAACCTCTGTTGTATTTACCATTCATAAACATGCTTCTCAATAAACAACATACCTTCCATAAATCTTGACGGAAGAAAGATGCCTGCTGATGAAGTCCTTGTCTCCATGCAGACCATCTAGAATAAAGAATCAGCCATCGGTTGAGCTCAACTCCATAAGCTCTGAAACCTTTCTGTGCTGCGGCCAAGGTCTGGTGAAATTATGCATTCATACATTATTATACATTCATATTAACCACTCCAATAGCTATATTACAAAACCAGGAAAGCAAAATCAGCAAAAGGTATGGTAGAATTAAACAAAGCATTCATTTTGAATAAATGTATGCACTATGGATTGGTCATAAAAAGTCACCTGACATTCAGGCAAGCATTCCACTGCTTAGTTAGGTGAATAATGCTGTCCGCAAACAAGGACTGTGGTTGCTCACTGAATTAAGTATTTACTGCATTCATTACATTTGCCTGTGTGTGAAACTGTTGCCCTTTGTGAGCTTTTTTTTAAGAGTTTGACAAATGAAAACCACACGGTTATAAATCAGGACTATAAGCAAGCTGGATGTTGTAGAATTTCCCACTTCTGTGTTAAAACTTCCAGCACAAACTTTGTGACATATGGACGCGCATTATCAAACAACAAATTCACACGACGAAAAAGCATGCTGGGTCATCTATTCTTGATGGCTAGTTAGTGTTTCCAGGCACTGGGCAGAGTTGATGTTAACACCAGGTTCTGTAAGCTGCCATCAACAGCCCTTTATGGTATATCCACATCAAATGCACTCAGCATCACGTTAACAGCAGAAATGTTTTTGGCTTTGACATCCAGCAAGCATGCTACCACTGCATGCTCTCTTCTGTTGCTCAGCTCAAAGTGATAACACCTAAGATTCATTGTCTGCCACTATGTGGAAGATAAAGTATTACAATCCGCTCTGTAACACAGCAAGTAGTTCAAACACCATCCCATGTGTGCTTTTTTGGTGGTCAGTGAACTCTGTAGTGCTCAATGTGTACACACCTTCTCTGATATTGCAGTTTCTTAAACAAGCTTTTGAACTGCCCCAAGTCAGACACTGTATTCTTTCACTAGCAACCGTATGCTTTGACAACAGTTCACTTCTACTGCTGTATTTATTTTGGCAATGGGCTTTTCTGTTGCAACAAGATGAACTTAACTTAGCTGTGGAAGATGTGGTGAACTCATGTCCTTTTCAAAAATCTTCATGCCCACTCTGTTAATACTGTCTTCGATGTAGATGTGTTACTGTAAGCTACCAGCATAGTTCAGTGAATGCCCACTGGTTGACATGCTTCAAATGAAAGAAACTGAACCACTGGTCTGTGAGCTTCACTGGAAATATTCTGGATCAACATAGTCATTTTCTCAACAGTCAGAAACAGAACCTATAGATCATGGGATGATAAGCATGAGCTTTTGACTCAGTGGTCAGTAATTATCACATAACTATGACATGATCATGTTCAACATGTGCAGTTACGGACAGTGCGACATGTACAGGTTTCAAATGGAGACTTATCATATTTTATTCATATATCATGCATTACAACGAGAGAAGATTCTTGACAGTCTTGTTGCATGGCATGGAGGTGTGTTGGCACATGAACTGATGATACATGCTGCAGGGGATGGCAGATTGTGGAGAGGCATGATCGCCCACCCCAGTCGGCAAGGCACCTGATGATGATCATGCATTTATGTTACGCATTTATTATTACACAGTCTTACATTATTATGCTGTCATTCATCATTACGCATTTTTATACGTTGTTATACCCAATGCAGTGAATAAAGAAATAACAATAAAACTTCTAAAATCAAAATTATTCCTTTGGCAAAATATGCAATTGAATCTTGGACTATTTAAAACAGTATGTTTTACACAGGAATTCTGAGAATACTGGGATCAGCAAGAAGATAAACAACAATATTCTACAAAAATCAGAACTTTTGTAAGGATACTGGCTCATAAACAGCAGTGAATCTTAGAAGATGAGTTATTCTCCTCCTCATCAGGCAACATCAAAGCCCTGTTGTCCCATTATATGTCACACAGGGCCCGCTGTCTATTCTTCTATTTCTTTCTATCCTGTGCAATCTCTTCTATAATATGGATAGAATCCAGTTCAGCACATTTGGCCTCTTTCTCTCTCGCTCGCTCTCTCTCGAGGCATGGTGTCCGCCTTGAGTGCTAGAAGTTCCGGGTTCAATCCCTGAGGGTCTATGCTCCTATAAGAGATAAAGACAAAAGGACTTGGCAGGAGTTGGCTGAGAGTCTATGCTCCTATAAGAGATAAAGACAAAAGGACTTGGCAGGAGCTGGCTAAGGGTCTCTGCTCCTATAAGAGATAAAGACAAAAGGACTTGGCAGGAGTTGGCTGAGGGTCTCTGCTCCTATAAGAGATAAAGACAAAAGGACTTGGCAGGAGTTGGCTGAGGGTCTATGCTCCTGTAAGAGATAAAGACAAAAGAACTTGGCAGGAGTTGGCTGAGGGTCTATGTTCCTATAAGAGATAAAGACAAAAAGACTTGGCAGGAGTTGGCTGAGGGTCTGGTCTGGTAGTCCTAGTTTCAGCTTCATAGCAAACGGGTCATCCAATTTTTGCTCCGCTCCTGTGCCAACGAAAAACACACAGAATGTTTATCACAGTCCCTTGTAGAAAGATTGACAGACTGCTGTCTCAGCATATCTAGCATACACTCGCATTAAAGCATATGGTGGCCGTCCGGTGCTAACACAAACAGTCCGACATTAGAAATGCAGTTCATCATTGATGGTAGCAGAAGTCACCAACAGATCTGCAGTTGCCCACGCAATCAATTTTAATCACATACGGGCACCACCAAAAATGCGACGACAGGCATCTCAACATTTTCTGAATCTACAATTCACACCACCACGTTGGTCACAGTCGAAAAAACATTTCAAATGAAATCCGCAGCTCACAGTGTCACGCCATGCATTTAACTCAGAAGCTGGGCGACGAAACCATATCCAGTCTACAAATGGAACAAAAATGCATCGGCCTCCGTCCGGCAGAAGCAAAAAATTTGCCTCGGCTCCAAAGACAGTGGCCCGCCTAGCGTCCATTTTGGCCGGAGTGTAAGAGATAAAGACAAAAGGACTTAGCAGGAGTTGGCTGAGGGTCTATGCTCCTATAAGAGATAAAAGACAAAAGGACTTTGGCAGGAGTTGGCTGAGGGTCTATGCTCCTATAAGAGATAAAGACAAAAGGACTTGTCAGGAGTTAGCTGAGGGTCTATGCTACTATAAGAGATAAAAAGACAAAAGGACTTGGCAGGAGTTGGCTGAGGGTCTCTGCTCCTATAAGAGATAAAAAGATAAAAGGACTTGGCAGGAGTTAGCTGAGGGTCTATGCTCCTATAAGAGATAAAAAGACAAAAGGACTTGGCAGGAGTTGGCTGAAGGTCTAAGCTCCTATAAGAGATAACAAGATAAAAGGACCTGGCAGGAGCTGGCTGAGAGTCTATGCTCCTATAAGAGATATAAGACAGAAGAAAAAAAGGTAAAATAATACACAAGAAATGGGCTGTCTTGGTTTCGTCACAAGCAATTTTACAGTGTGAAACATGGAGGTCAATTCTTAAAATATTGCCAGTCAAAATCCAGGGTATATTGGGATGTCCTTAACCTTTTTCTTAGCAAATTATGGTTGTTTGTCCACTTCTGGACTTTGGTCTTGTTGCATAACTCGAGTGAGCTTTGCATGCACATCTGTTTTATGGATCTGGCTTTTTTTTGTTTTTATAAAGACTGTTGATTCCTTGTCTCAGGCAGATGTACTCCAACTCTGAAGGAAACACCTTTGATTGGTCAGCTTTCATGATATGCTTGTTGGGGGCAGTGGATCTATTCTTTCTTCTCTTAAAATGGGGCCCAGGAACCCACACGGGGACTTGGATGTCCAAGCTTCAAATCAGCCATGCTTTTATTTTGTGCACGGATGCGTACATAAAACTCAAGTTTTGGATTTTGATGAGCAACTAGAACTTTCCTCTGGAGTTTACAGCTGGTGAACGTGAAGAAAAAAACACTATAGTAAAAGTGGAGCAAGAAATAAATACATTACAATAGCCAAAAAAATAAAACAATCAAAATGTATCTTACAATGCGTCCGTCTCCACTCCCAATGTCAATAAGTGAACCAGACCGTCCCGCCAAAGCTTTCATTACATTGTTTATCTGTGCAGACGATGCTGGAATATAAGGCAATGCAAATTTCCGTATGCCGGGAATCACAAAAGGCACCAAGAGAGCACTGACACCAGCAAATACTGCTCCTGAAACCCCTAGCAAAATGGCTCCTCTGCGAGACAGTTTCGGAGGTTTGGAGTTTTTCCCAGCTTCGGATATTTCCTTGCAGAAAGCACATTCTGTGTCTGGCTCTAGAACATCTCTTGTTGCTGCTGCAGGGCTCAGAGTGGACATCCTTATCTGTTAAACAAGCAAGTAGAAAAGCAGGAATTAGAGAAATAGAGACATTAAAAATAAATATGCCCAAGGTGAATCCTGTGAACACTTTGGTAAAATGACATCAAAGATGAAGAAGAAAATGAAATGCTCATCTCTGGCAAATATTATCAAAGGAGGAAGATGGTGAAGGCTTGGTTTGCAGAATTCCTCATGACACTTTGACGAGGCCAGCTCTCTAATGGATGGCAGATGGAAAAAGGAGATGTGGACGACCTAAGAAAACCTGAAGAAGGGCAGTAGAAAGGTAAATGATGGAATGTAAAATGACATGGGATACCTTGGGTGGAAAAGCAGCACACTGAAAGCAATGTAAGGTGGTCAAACAGTTTGTCTCAAGTCTGGAATACTGTGGGTAATTTTTGTTTCACTAGCATTTGGTGCAAACGTGTAATTTTTCAGAAATTCCCAAGGATCTGCACATATGCATTTTTTAAAGAGTTTCCTGGGGATTTGTTGAATATATACCTTTTTTTTTCTATCAGCGTTCCCTGGGGATTGTTGTATACATGCAGTTTTTTTCAGAACTCGCTGTGGTCACTGTAAACATGCATATTTTTTTTAAGAGCTTTTTCCAAATCTATATTATGCTAACTTGTTCTCTCTAGCAAGATCAACCTGGGTGCTAAGGTCATTTTTCTCCAAAGTGTCAAGATGTGTATACAGTCTATGAAGAAATTGGCGCATTCAAAAGTACCAGTTCTATCTTTGAAGAATTCCTAAGCTTGGGTAAGTTGATTATAGTTTACAAGTACCATAATATATGTCTTTTTAAAGCTGGCCACTGCTGCAGAGAGGGAAGATTCAGCTGTGTGATCGCAAAGAGTTGGGCCGTTCTTGATGTCCATAGATCAGGCTCTGAACAATAAACCTTTCCCTGTGCAGACTAAATAGTTTGTGCTGTACATAACCCACACCATTTGTAAAGATATTAAACCCTACAAGTAATTATTCTCTAACTAGACAAATGAAGTTTTGTGCCTCCTAGCAGAAATATGGAATCTGGGTAATCTTTTAACAGTTAACTGCTGTGATGTCAGAGCTCGACGCTCCGAGTCAAAGGTGTGTTTGGCACGGAAATATCGGGTGTGTAGTAGCAGCCTGTGGAGACGTGATATATATATATATATATATATATATATATATAGGTACTAACGGGGTACATTGTATGTCTGCAAGTGCAGATGTGAGGGTGGAGAGAGGATGATCTATGTGTGGTAGTGTATATCTATCTCCACTATATACCTTGTCTTCTATCTGGTGTACTAATTTACAGACAGATAAATGAAAGGAGACATTGTCTCCTGTTCTTGAGAGTTACACTCTGAGGAATGGAGAAGGGTAGCAGAGTGTGGGGTGAGCTGGTGTGTGATTAAAGTTGATTACTAATTCTGAGTTCTTTCCTTAGAGATCAGGCAAACGAATCACAGTCCAGCCAATAACCACCAACCCATACCATTCTGGGCACCAAGTATATCCAAAAAGTATATTGTTGCCACCACCTCAACATGGCAAGAGCTTGGTTGTGAGTTCCAGGACTGGTGGACAATTGCAAACACTTATGTCATCAATCCAGAGAATCAGTCTTCAAGAGCTTATGTAGTTCCTGTGTCCTCACCTGTGAGACAGTCAGCGGGCACCACAGTCTTCAAGAGCTTTGTTGGGCTCTTATGCACTTACTGTGTCCTCACCTGTGAGACAGTCAGCTTGTACCAGATCAAGTCGAGGCAAAGCTACCTACTGAGTCATCCACAGTCAAATCACCATGGACTGAGGGGAGCAGTGACCTACGAACTGGGATAAGTGATCTCCTATTTACATACATGCTCTCTTCCCACAGCTCCTTGTGATTCCTATGATGAACTCATGTATTATCCAAGAACTACATCTGGCTGCTTCAACATATGGGTTGTGTCATGGATTCCTGAACTCCATTCACTGAACATTCTTGATGATCTATTCATTAACATATGTATATATATTGTACTTATTACATGCAGAAATTTTCATGGCTGACTTGGGCGTCCCTGTTTCACCATTCTAACTGTCTAGCTTTTATGTTTGTGTGAGTAATAAGTGTAATCTGTGTTAACATGGCTATGATAGTATACTATCATAACCTGGGGGCTACCTTTTTATAGTAGTGGGGGTGTCCAGCCAAGTGTGCCTAGGAATAATATATATTTTGTAGTGCCAAAGCTTGAGTTGCCCTACTCCTGAAATAAGTTGAGCGTATATTGGCCACGGGATATCCCTTAGACCAATATGAGCCAACAACTCAACATTATTATTTCAGAGTGCTGTTGGTTCTTAAGGAGAAATCTTTAAATCAGGCATGTGACAGGAGCAGTATGTGACACTGTCTCCTTCTGATGTCTGTGATAAGTTGTCTTCGGGCTCCCGCCTCTTTCAAAACCTCTTGGTTGCTCTTTTTGGGTGTCCAAGGTATTCTAAGCATTCTTCTGTAAAACCACATCTCTGAGGCCTCTATAAATTGTTTGGCCTGCCTACCGATTGTCCAGGATTCACAGCCATTTGTTAAAACTGGATGTATGTAGCAAGCAAGAATTCTTTTTCTAACTCTCAATGACAAGGATATATTGCACAAGATGTTTTTCATTTAATAAAATGCAGTTTTTGCCTGTCCTATTCTGTTTCTTATCTCAGTTATGCATCTTCCATATGATGTTATCCATGTGCCCAGATACTTAAATTTCTGTACTTGTCCTAAAAAAATACCATCGACTTTTATTACACACTAAAATGTAAGTATAACGGATTATAAAAAGTACAGATGCGCTCACTTTTAAAATTGCTTGTTGCCCCCTTGAAACCTCCTTGCCAGCCCCCCTCCCATTTGTTGAAGACCACTGCTGTAGGCCAAAAGCAGTGACATTAGATTCCTTTATGATTGCCAAAGTTATTAAATAGGGGAAAGAAATTTGATGATGGTGAGGTCGTCAATGTCTTCAACACAGATGACTGCCATTGTGAGAGTAAGATTCCTACAGAGCGGGATGGGAGAGAGAATAAGACTCCAGCACAGATGAATGAATGTGAAAGAGTCATACTCCTCCTGCACAGATGAATGAATGTGAGCGAGTAAAACTCCAGCTTCTTGAATTAACTCAACTCAACTCTAAATTTCATACAAAAACCAACGCACTTAAAATAAATTTTTTTTTTAATTATCATTTGGTTTATTGGACACACAGTTTTCACAATGACATTTGTTAACACATTTATTGTATGCATACTTTAACATACAGATGAAGGATAAACAAGATAAAGCATACACAACAACTAAATCAAATTTATAAAGATATGACTTAAACTTGTGATAAGTTAAGTAAAATTTCATATACCGCTAATTAGGCGCCCCAAAATTTTTTTTTTTTAAGTAGTTTTACAAATTGTAGATTACTTTTTGTAAAGATAATTAGTTCAACTTATGTGTCCATTAACTCCTTGAGTCCCAGGGGATTTAGCATCACAGCCCAAGGGGTAGTCAAGAGAGACGTAAGATCGGCGCATCTTGCATTCACTGGGCTTCTAGGTAGGAATCTATAAACGTATGATGTGTTCCTTGGGACTCAAAGAGTTAAACTATTATGAAAAACTAAAGTATACAACATACAATAAATTATATGAAGGTCATTATAAATTCACCATGGTAATGACAAAATTTTAGTATTACTACTACTATTGTGATACAACCTAGATTAAAGGGATATTTTATTTGAAGCAATGCAAATTACATATCTTTCTTATTTATACAAATTATCATATGATATATAAAATAACAAACATATATATATATATATATGGACACATACATTCTGAGAACTGGATGAACACTACCTATCTTCAATTATAACCCTAAGGTTTTAACTAACAACAAGATATTTAAAATATTTATGAAAGATGATTTACCACCTATCTAACTAACCGCTATTACTATAACTTAATAGCATATAATAAATTTAATGTTTTGAAAGTAAAGAAAATGTCGCTGTGAAAATTAATCGTGCGCCAAATATTATTAATATTATAAACCAAATGAGAAATTACTTTTTTTTTTAAGTAGACGGATTAGAGTGTATGCAACTTAAATAATTAAAAGCTTTTTATGAACAATAATAAAATAAAAGTGTTGTTCATTTAAACTTTAATTTTTGTCAATTTCCCCTTGGCATCCTTACTAAGTAAGTTCCTTTTTTATTGGTTAGAATTACTGTACTCTAGTAGTTAGTACTTAGTACAGTTAGTTACTGACTGTTAGTTTAGTGTTAGTTAGACATCATCGCTGATCATGCTGATGTGATGGTTAGATTAGAGTAGACCATAGACGGAAAATAAATACATTCACGCTTCTACAAATGAACAATCACATTCGTAACTCACAATTCAGTTTCCTGATATGCGTTCACTTTCATGTTACTTTGCTTGGGATGACGTGTATTATTTTTTGTCAGCTAGTTTCCAGAAAGTTTTAACCTCCAAGGTCTGCATGTCAGTTCTACAGCAGACGGGATAAAAATTTAAAAACATGGATCAAAAAGAAACAGGGTCGTCGTCATCATTATCAAGTGCCCTGCTGCTGGCGTTGGCGATCGCGACTCGTCATAACCTGGCGCAAGGCATCCTCTGCATGACAACCTGAAAGATTTAAGTGGAGGTCGGTTAAAACAGGAAAATCATGGAAAGCACTAGCTAAAGGTAACACCGAGACAGCCGCAGACGAGCTTATACATGAGATAGGAATGGGTCGACACGTACACCCACAACACAGCAGTCTCCGTCAGGTAATTATCGCAGTAGGAAGAGAATGTAGACAGTGGTGTAACTGCATGGCTCCCCACCCCCACCCTTTTTTTCTTCTCAGTTTTTGGGGTGACATAATCATCACTTACACGATCCGCAGAATCTTAAATCGGGTGGCGCTCCTGTAGTGCCCC